TCAACATCACAGTCCTTACTTGCATTCTTGAGTATCTTAAGAATACGCCTCTTGTCTCTGCTGGCAGTAGCAGACACCTGACCTCTTTTAAAACCTCCATATCCTTTCTTAAATTTACATCCCTTACGATTGAATCACCAACCAGAAGGTGACTTCTCTTTTTACATACCTTGATCTTCTTGTGCGACTGATGTGAGATACCTGGGTCCCCATTTCACTTTCCAAAGAAAGTTCTTCATTTTGGACCACGATCCCCTGCTTATTTGAGTCATCATTATCAAACTATCTTGATCTGTCTCTTTAGTGTCCCCATTAAGATCAGCAAGGGCACTATATCCGTTATGCTGGGTCACAGCAAAAGCTTTGTGTTTATGGTTCACAGCTCTTACCCTGCCAGATCCCACGGTTGTCCAGACTGCTCTTCTCCTGCAGGGTCTTGGCGGTAGAGGGGGCTGATAGCGTGGCATCTCCATAATGTGGAATGGTCAAATTGGACACCTAATTTCTGCTTGGAGAGCACAGATTAGAGATTCTGTATAGGTAATCTGTCTATGTAGACTAGTAATTTGTTTACAAAGGAGACAGTATCCAAATTTGAAGAGAGTACTGCAAAAGACAGTGCAAAACAGCTATTACATTGAACTAAGCCGATCATTTTGAAATAAAATAAAATCACAATCTCACGGGCACTAATCCAGAATGTATTATTGCTATTTTGGTTTATAGATATATGATGAAATGAAATGGAGTTAAAGGGCCCCTATCTTTGATTCCCCCCTTGTAGAAAACAGCTCCAATCACCAGCCTCAGGGAGGTGTTATAATTAATGTGGGTAGGAATACATTATCTTAAGGAGATCCATCAATATTTTTTCTTGGCCAAGAAAACAAATAGTTTTTGCTTCTCTTTCAGGGCATGAGCTATCTGGAGGATGTCCGTTTGGTTCACCGGGACTTGGCTGCCCGGAATGTCCTGGTGAAGAGCCCAAATCATGTGAAGATTACAGATTTTGGGTTGGCCCGACTGTTGGACATTGATGAAACAGAATATCACGCTGATGGAGGGAAGGTGGGACATAGCAATGTTCCTTCATTAATAGGCCAAATGTAGATAGGTTCTGTGAGGAAATGCTACATTTACCTCTACAGTACATAATAATAAGTGCACTTAGCTTTCTCCTAACACATTGCTTTGACCTGTCTCCTTCAACTTGCTAACTTGCTACTAGATATTTTGAATCAGAATTCCCATATTTAGTTAGACTTGTATGGTCTGAGGCAGCGTTACTGGTTGGGAGTTCTAGGAATTGAACTTGCAAAGTTGTCAAGTATGAGAATGAGAAATGATTATGAGAAATGCCAGATTGAAGATATATTAGTTGAACAGATAAAATTCTATTGCTGTAACCCAAAACAACTGCAAATAATATTTGATTGATAATATTTAACTTTTGTAAAGTTAAGAGCACAATCTCTTCTGAACGAAGACTGGCTAATACTTTGACAATATTTTTTGTCTTGTCACCCCACATACACATAGAACAAGAGTGACAACTTTAATACATTTCAGATTACATTTCACAGTTTATATTCAAGGAATGTTTGTGAATAATATACTCAGTCCTTCTCATTGATGTCATCCTTTCTACTGGTCCTGCCTCTTCTTTCTAATGTATGAACTAATTCCTTTTTTTCTTAAATTAAGGCTCTGAAAGCATATTATCCCAGTTTCCCTCACTTTCTCCTTCTGTCCAAAGCAACTTAACAAATTGAAAATATAAAATTAAGCTAGTTTTAAAATGGAAAGGCAACAGGATAGAATTGCACAATAATCAGAACGAACTTTCTAAATCCCTTTCTAATTTTTTTTTTTTTAATATGGATGACCAATTAGAGCTCTTGTCGGTTGTATCTCCCTAGTTTGTAAAGATTCCACTGCTGAAATTCAGTGAGAAAAATATCAGCAGTACCATTATCTTTTTCCAAAATTAAAGAAAGAAGAGCTTTAGCAGAAAGGTTTCAGAAAGCAAACAGCTGCCATTTCAAATCTTTTTAAAACGCCCAAAAATCAAAATGCTGAAAAAAATAATTGGGTGATATTTTTCAGAGCTTGGAAGTAGGATAGATAAACTATCTTGTGCTTATTGCATACAAGGAATCAGTATATATGATGGGATATTTTTCCAAGCAAAACTTTCTGGTTATTCTGTCAGATCCTTTCCCCACCTGTTGAGTCTGAAGTGGGACATCTTCAGATGCTAAATAATACTTCATTACCATTGTATTGAGAAACATTTTAACTAACCACAACCATTTCTAAGCAGGATCTAAAAACTTTCAAATAACAATACTGCTTGAAACTAACCAACATAGATGTGATTTGTGATCATCGTGCATGATTGATTTCTTTGTCCAGGTGCCTATCAAGTGGATGGCTTTAGAGTCCATCTTGCGCAGACGATTTACTCATCAAAGTGACGTGTGGAGCTATGGTATGTGTAGTCTTTTCTCCTTTCAATTAACTCCCATTGTGAAAACTTTACTGTTCCTTCATGGAAATCTCTCTTTCTCTCTTCTGCTTTCAACAGGTGTTACTGTTTGGGAGCTGATGACTTTTGGTGCAAAGCCTTATGATGGTATCCCAGCCCGGGAGATTCCTGATCTTTTGGAAAAAGGAGAGAGATTGCCCCAGCCTCCCATATGCACCATTGACGTCTATATGATTATGGTTAAATGTAAGCAATTAGGGATAATTAATAGATTTTTAACAGGGGGGAAAGATATTGGGGCTATTAACCCTAGATTGGAAATTATACCTCCAATATTTCTGAGCAGTATCAGATTAGCAAAGTCTGTGGTCAAAACTGCAATAAAATATAAAGCATATAGTTGGTTGATTGCTGTAATTTGTCTAACTTTAGCCTCTAGCTATCCTGTAAATGAAGCAGGAAAAGAATGAGGGCAAGTCTAACTGTATGTGTCAAACAGAAGTTGAATTAGATGATCTCACAGATCACTTCCAATTCTATTATTCTAAGATATGACAGTATTTTGGCTGTTTTTTCCAAACAACATAATTGAATTTGAAGTTTTGTCTAGTGAAATAGCTTTCTTATTTTTAGAAATATGCCTTCCAACATTTGCTAGTTATAAACCATTGGTTTAATTTTTGTAAATTGCTTAATTTTTTTTTGTCAACTACTAAATTTGCTTCTATTTATTCAGTTATGTATCTGTTTTATTGAATTATTTTTAAAAGCATAGAATATTATATTTGGCAGTGTTTAGTATTTGGAAAGCATGCTTCCATTCAAAAATCAAAAGCAACATGTATTCTAGATATAGCTATTTAAAAGTGGACAGTGACTTTTTGTCCTGTCTACTGCCTGGGTTTTCTGCCAAATTGGAATTGGCATCTTTAGCGTATTCAGAGATTTGTACTCCTTCCTGTAAGAAACAAAGGTATGAACTGTCCGGCACAGAATTACATACATAACATAACATAACATAACATAACATAACATAACATAACATAACATAACATACCCCTGAAATGCATTGTACTTAGATTTACAATATGAAAAACATTGCAGGAGATTAAAAGCAATATTTTAATTAAAGTTCTGAAGTAGATAAATAAATATTTTTAATTTCCAGAAGTCATGATAATATTTCCTGTGTTTTCTTCATTCATGTTAAGTAGCTGATCTTTGCAAGGATCATGTTTTTTTCACTATTTTCCTTCCCATTATCAGAGAAACTAGTTCTTTTTATCATAAAGAGGACTTAATTTGTATAGATACATGTATTCTCTTTTTGCCCTGTAGGCTGGATGATTGACTCAGAATGCCGGCCTAAGTTCCGAGAATTGGTTACTGAGTTCACCCGCATGGCTAGGGATCCTCAGAGGTTTGTGGTTATTCAGGTGAGGAGAATATTTTACTTTCAAGAGGATTGCACTGCCTCCCAACTTTTTTATTCCACAACAGTAGGGATAGTGGGGAGAAAGGGGAAGAAAAACTAAAAGAACTTCCTGTTACACCAGATTAAGTCCAGCTAGAATAACATTGTTTCTCAAAATTTGGTCAACTAGATATACCCAGAGTTGTCCTATCAGGTGCCAGATTGATAGCCTTATTTTTAAACAAGACCTCAGTGATCTAAATTTTTCTCTATGCTTTGGACATAGGAAGTCTGGATATAGTGAAATATTTTAACTAAGGAAAATTAATTAATAATGACTAATAAAGTATTGGTTTAATGTCCATCTTTATCTCAGTGGCTTAAGATCACATGTTTGGACCTTCACTAATGTTCAGGCAACAGTATGTGTCTGTTCTTAATGTTGTAGCCTTCAGAACAAATGGACAATGTGTTGTATCTTTTATAATATAAGCAACCATTTCACTTATCCAGCTTCCAAATTTATAGAAGGTGCAATTTCAAATTGACTCAGAAGGAGCATAGTATATGGATATTCTCATACAATGAAGAGCATGAATTAGCTAAGTTAATATCACACGACAGTATTACAAATTTTTGTGTTTATTATATTTTATCTGAGTTTGGAATATTTTAATCAATTCTGCTTCCAGTTTTCTGCATTAGAAACCCACTGTTAATCCAATAGATGTGAGAAGCTATATTGGATAGACAAGGGAAAGTCCCAGTTTTCTTTTAAGTTACTTGCTGGGAGTGGCATTTTATAAAGTACATAACACCAAGGATAAAAATATTGATTTTGTTTTGTTTGGCATTTGACTGTAATTTAATTAATTACATATCATGAATAGGAATACTTTCTGCTTACTTCATAATTTCTTTCCTCCGGTTCCACCACAAATCCGCGGTAGACATACGTGACATCATCACAGCGCGACGAAAACGGCACGCTGTGAGCAGTAAATTTAAAATTAACGCGAAAACCTTACCCTAACCCCCCCCAAACCTAACCCTAACCCTAAGCCTAACCCTAAACCTAACCCTTAACCTAACGCTTAACCTAACCCTAAACCTAACCCTTAACCTAACGCTAAACCTAACACTAACCCTTAACCTAACCCTAACCCTTAACCTAACCCTAAACCTAACCCTTAACCTAACCCTAACCCTTAACCTAACCCTAAACCTTACCCTTATCGGCTTGCTTTAATTTAATTTTAATTTTAATTTAATTTATTTTTAATTTTATTTGTCGCGCTGCTGCTGATGTCACGTACGCGCTTTGATCGGGCGCGCTTTAGTGGACCGCGGTTTTGACGGGTCACGCTTTCCTCCACCTTAAGCAATAATTGGTAACATTCTAGGATCCACATCCAAAGCTTTCAGAGGCCATTGTGGCTTGAGAGTTCTAGATTTTTATCTCTGATTTATGTTTTGGTGTTGCATTGTATAGTAGATGTTAGTAATTAGAAATACCGGTAGTAATCTTTTGCTGTATTGCTTTCTGTTTGTGCTCTTCTGCTGCCAAAGTGGTATTTATGTTGAATCTTGGATAAGATTGCAGAAGATAGATGGATATTGGCTTGGTGCCCCCTAATATAAAACCATAAGCTGTGAACCATGACATTCCCCATTTAAGTTCCAATTTTCATCATAAACATATTAATGACTTTTGATAAATCATCTTAACAGCATTAGCTGACACAACTGCATTATGAGGATATTAATTTTGACTATCCAGGGTGCTATAAGCCTAGTCGATACTTCCACAGGAAGCAAGATAATTTTGGGACCTGCAAGCATTTGCTGTTTGTTTTTCTTGATAGAATGATGAAAAGATGGGTCTTGCCAGCCCCATAGACAGCACTTTCTATCGCACTTTGCTGGAGGAAGAAGACATGCAAGACTTGGTGGATGCAGAAGAATACCTTGTCCCCCATCAGGGATTTTTCAGTGGTGAAACATCAGCTGACTATCGATCTAGGATGTCCTTCACAAGAGTAAGCATATGATTTAGTTTATAATCTGCAAAACAGTCAAAACCAGTTTGAATCTTGATTATGCCACACTATTTCTCCTACCTAGGAATAGGGAATATTTTTTAGTTGAAGGACTGCTTTAATTTAGGCAAACAAAATTTTAAAACTCTTCCTTGGATGTCTCAATAAAAAGAGTTTTTGTTTCCAGCTACAAGCAATTCAAACTCTGAGTGGAGGATCAGACTAGATCAATGTTTTCAGATTTGGCAATTTTAAGATGTGTTGATTTAAATTCCCAGAAACTGGGGGATTCAGGGAGCTAGGTCCATATATCTTAAAGTTGCCAAGTGTGAAAAACTTGCCTAGATAATCTCTAATGTTCCTTCCAATGGAATCATAGATGGGAACCAGTGCCACTTGTCTGCATAATGAAAAAGATTAGCACTTGTTTTCTAAGCATGGATGGGAAGGGGAGAAAAGGAATCTGCCAAACAGCGGCCAGTATCACCAAGCAGTTGAAGTCTGCAGTACAAAATTTTCTTTTGAGGCAAGAGCAAAAAAAAAAAAAAAATCAGCAAAAAAAGAAAAAAACATAGTTCCAGAGATAGCTAGTCTAGAAGGTGAGGTGAAAGAGCTAAAGTAATAAAATCACAAACATCAAACCTACATACAGAAAGTAGGAGGAGGTTTGATCCAGTTCCCTCAACAGTTCACCTGAAGATATCTGAGAGAAATATGCCCATGGGTCCAAAAAGGCTGGAGATATGTCTATGAAGTGAAAAGCTCTGTCTATGAAGTGAAAAACATAATAATATACAATAAGGTATATGCAAGGGCGAAGACGAACATACTTTTAGCAAAACTCTTGCAAGTTATTTTGTTTTGCTAATTTTTGCTATGATAAGTAGAAGATTTGAACATATATTAGTTTAAAACTACATTTTTAAAAACCCAAATTTTGTAAACTACAGCTTTATTATTTTACAAATAATTCAAGCTCCGAATATATCAAACACACCTTCCTCTTCCTATTTTCCCCACAACAAAAACCGAATATATCAAACACACCTTCCTCTTCCTATTTTCCCCACAACAAAAACGGTGTGAGGTGAGTTGGACTGAGAGTGACTGGCCCAAAGTCATCCTGGTTTTCATAGCTAAGAACGTTGGTGGCTGAGTGGTTAGAATCAATATTGCAGACTAACTCACTGCTCACTCCAGTTCAATTCTGACCAGCTCAAGGTTGACTCAGCCTTCTATCCTTCTGAGGTTGGTAGAATGAGGACTCAGATTGTTGGGCACAATATACTGACTCTGTAACCCGATTAGAAAGGGCTGTGAGAGAAGTTATAGAAGTCTAAGTGCTATTACTGTTGTTAAGGCAGACTTGAACATACGATCTATCTCTTTCTAGCCTGGTGCCTTAAATCACTAGACCAAACTGGCTAGTGTGTGTGTATAAATGCAGACAGCCATCTAATGTGTGTGTGTGTGTGTGTGTGTGTGTGTGTGTGTGTGTGTGTTTGTGCGTGTGCGTGTATTACAACATTTCCTATAAAATGCCGATCTAGATCCACAGCATGCTCTTACAGCACCAATTTTTAAGCGCTTGTGAACTGTTTTTTTCTAGAATGTTCTAGAGACTCAATTGGATGCAGAAGAGGCTGAGGAGTCTCCTCAATACCCATACTTGGGGCCACCCCTTTCTGAAGAGTCAGAAAGTATCCCCACTGATGTGCGTGAGGAAGACTATGCAGCAAGCAAAGCAGGGCAGAATTCAGCACCTTTGCAGTCACCTGATTCTTTTCTTCAGCGCTATAGTGAAGATCCCACGAGTCCGGCAATTAATGAAAAGGAGAATCCTGATAATAAGAGCTACGCTACACCATTAAGCTTGGCTCTCATACCAGGTATGTGCTATATTTTTATTGGAAGGCAGCATAGAAATTTGATTTTGAAGTGCTTGGGATATTTATGTAGTTTGCAAATTCTTAAATCTTTTTTTCTCTGCAGCACAATGTTAAGAAAATATGTTTAGTTTAAGCAACCCTATATAGATCCTGATAGGTGTGTAGTTTTGTTAGTAGTTTTTGTTATTAAACATGCACGCTACCACAATCTGCATTTTACTATTCTTACTATTTTCTTTCTTTTCCCTGTAGAGTATGTAAATCAACCAGAAAACAACCTTCCACCCAACAAAAACCTACGATTACCAGGATCTACACTAGAAAAGCAAAAAAGGCACATGGGCAAAAATGGGCTTGTCAAGGAACCAAAGAATGCATTCTTTGTGAGTTTCACCAGTGCAGTGGAAAATCCAGAGTACCTGACACCATGCAGTGTCCCTGCGTCTAGCCCTTTACCACAGGCTTTTGACAACCTTTACTATTGGAACCAAGAAAATCCTAAGTGCAATCCAGCAGAATTCTTTGCCACCTCCATTGTTCCTCCTGCTGCTACCAATGGCTTTCCTCCAACCCCAACAGCAGAGAACCTGGAGTATTTAGGACTGTCAGAATCAGTCACTTGTTCCAAGGACTTTGCATAAAAACTATTTCTCATGACCAGTCAAATTGACTTTTACAATCAAGACACCTCAGGATACAAACCCAGTGAATTACCCATGCATGATGAACACGGTTAAAGCCTAATGGTCCTTTTAAGGCCCAATAGGGTTGTTTCTCTCATGTCTCCTAGCTCTTGGGGAAAGAAGATGGTGGGCACATTTGGATCTACTGCAATAGAATAGCATGGCTTTTACTCCCTCTTATTTAATACTGGCAATAGCAAGATTTTCCCTTTGCTACTGCCCTAAGATGTGCTGTTGAAAGTTTTGGGGTCCAAGTATGGATTTTTGTTTGGCTGGATTGCAAGTTTTGGTCAGTATAGTACTAGTAATTAAACATATTAGTTGGCTCAGAATTTTGCAACACTAAGTATATTTCCATCACCCCACATATCAGATGGCGGACAGTAGTTTTAAATAAAAAGAGGTTTAATATCCTGCAAACTTGAAGTCTGCCCATTTCTGGGCTATAAGGCACTACATCTGTGACATTCCTCTGATTCAAGCAACTCAGCTGCCATTTGGGTACTTCAGCAGAATGGAGTGCTCTTTTACTTCTCACCACACCTGTAGTCCCTGCTTTTAATGTCTTGGGCTTCAAGATAAGAGGGTCAAGCTACTAGAAGGGCCTGAAAAACTGCAAGTTGGAATTATAATACATTAAGAAGAGTGAAAACATGATTTTTGGAAATTTTATTATTGCTTAAACAGATATTCTTCAACCTTAGGGTGGGACTAATATGCCGTTATAGCAAAGTAGAACAAAATAATTTAAATTTTTTCAACAAGGTATCTTAGAACAAAGAAAGTTTTCCTTAGTGACAAATTAGTTTTGCCGTGGTCTTTAAAATTACAAGAAGTTTCTAGAAGAGCTAGTTGAGGAACCAAAACAATTGTATTTAGTTTAGTTTAGTGATTCTAATTCAGAAAGGGAATATATTTGGATTGGAAAGTAGTTGATATATATTATATGATCTTTGACACACCACCAAGAGTACTGACAAAAAGCATCTAACATGTTGCTTTAGAGACAATAGTAGAAGTTAGTTTCTCAATAGGCACAGTATGCCTCCTTTGTGTTTTTGAAAAAAAATTTTAAGAAAGTGAAAGCTGCACACATGCCTCCAATATATGAAAGGGCAGACTGATAGTGAGTGCCAATTGTAGATTTCTAAGAACCTTGCTTTTAAGAATGGGTCCAGCATTAATGGAGGCAAATATATGTTTGAAGTGCATATATACATATATGTCTTCTAAATCATAGGAGCCAGAGACATAACTGAATAAGATTGTCAGAAATGGTGGGTGAATTCTTGGTATTCTGCATAACTTTCTCTCATGCAGTCAAAGCTAGAGCAAAAAATGTGCAAAACAGAGTACAGAATTACTCATTGTAATTTATGAAGCAACATAAAGGAACTTTTTCATTAAGCACAGATTAAAGGGTGCTTAATTTTTTACTCTCTGAAAGAATTAATCCATAATCAATGCCAGCATTGGTCCTCTTAAAGCTGATTTGTTACCTTCCAGATTGTACTTCCCCTGTTTTAATTGAAGTCTTTCCTCAATGAATTAACTTGTAACTATTACTATTATGTCTAACATGCTGTATATAAAAATAATTGGTATGTCTCTTAAGTGAACCTAGTGACATCTAAGTGAATCCCAAGACTGTATTTCTGTGGTATGTTGGAATGGAAGAGTAACATGTCTGAAATGTATTAGATTGAGGAAGGTTCCTGTAATTCACTATCTCCCATTTCATGTGTCACAATTGTAGATCTATTATACACTGCTAAACTTCTTTTGTTTATTTGTAACCTTCACTTAGGCAAACCAGTGCTTCACAAAGCAACAATTTATTGAATCTATGTACCTCAAATGGGTTAACTTACAGAATGCACCCCAAATTTGGGACCCATGACTCCCATAGATTGAAATTTGGCAATTTTGTGCCCATTTCAAAGCTACCATGCCAACATACTGCTGTGGTCACATGGTTTTAATTTGCAATATTCCTTGTCAGAGTCCTACAAGGAAAGACAGTGGGGAAATTAACACAGTCAGGAGTTAATCCCATTCCATTGCTTTTTTACTCACCAGTGGTCATTCTGTTTCTGTTCATTTAGTAAGGAAATATCTCTGAAACAAGTGACTCAATAGGTCACAAGTTGTCTTGGTCTTTTTCTAAAATCATTCTAAATAAATACTGTGATTACAACTAATTCTATTTCTTCCTCTCTTTTCAAATCAAATTTGAAAAGAAAGTAGGATAATGAAATGGAGATGCTAACGTTAGTGCACTGTTTTCTGAAATAGAACAAGAGAAGTTAAAACTTTACCAGGTCTTCCCAACGCTGAAAAAAAAGTAACCACTTTCAACATGTACATACAAAGAACAAGTCTGAGGCTCTGGAGAAATTCCTTTTTTGTTTTGATATTCTATCAATATTCTAAAATGGTTGTGTATGTAAAGAATTATGAAAGTTGCAGATGGCAAGTTAGGTGAAGATCCTTGAAGGCAAAGGAATGTAGTGTGATTAGTACAACTTGTTCTTTGTATATACGGAATGTCTTGGAATTGTAAATACTGTTTACAAAATCTATGGAAAACAATAAGAAACAAATCAATAGATTGTGTATGTAGCTGTTCTAAGGAATGATTTGTTTACTATTTCCAATGTTCACTGTATTTGCATATTCTCCTATTTTACATTGAAACCTGTGTTTTCCAGCTGGTGCTAAGTTAAATCATTGAAAAGTACCAGCTGTCAGTAGTTTTTTTTAAACAAAATGAAAAATGTGTTATAAGTATTTGTATATCTGAGAAATGTATAATATAGTTTTCATTTTCTATAACATTTGTGTTGAAGCTTTTTTATTGTTATCTCTTAAAGTGACATTTCTGTAACTGCTCAATCCCACATATGTAGGATCACAAATAAACTTTAGAGAAAGTCTATCCTTTTGGCAGAATTTAGATCAGGAGGGTTCCTACTGGTTCGGACCGGTCTGGACGAGTAAGTAGTAACTCGGCTGGCCACGCCCCCAAACCGGTTCTATAGGCATCACCATCTTGTTTTTTGCTTCTGCGCATACACGGAAGCATTTTTATAGTACTCTGCATGCACATGTAGTGTTCATCAAGTGTATGCAAACCTGCAGTGCGTCCCTGAGCAAACTAGCAGTAGTGGCAGCCGGAACCCACCCCTGATTTAGATGCTTTTGACAGCAGAAAAATGGGAGGATTATTCTTTTTGCTCATGTCATTGAGATTTCTGTTTTAAGAATTACATAAAACAAGTTCCTCAACTTGTTATATACTATATATATTTCAACAGAAATATATATAGTATATAAAGTTGCCATTTTAGGATGAAAAGAGCAAAGCAATTGTATCTGAATTACTATAACATAGTACTCTCGAATTAATAACTACAACTTAGAAAAAACTCTAGGTCAGTAGCTAACCTAGTAGTTTTTCCCTACTAGACTTTGGATCAGTCACACTCTCTCAACCTGACTCACCTCACAAGATTGTTGTGCAAAAATATTAGTAATAGTATTAGATATGTTTGTCACCTTGAGTTATTTATAAAAAATAAAGGGATGATATAAAGATTCTTTCCCCAGGCAGAGACACTGTAAAGTGTAGATTTCTATTTTAAAAAGGGGTGGGGTGGGGTGGGAGGAGAAAGGCCAATAAATGATGAAAGGATAATGACATTGGGGAACAGGAAAAAGGGGACTTTGTATATTTTAAGAAAAAAGGAGATTATGGGGTAGTTGATTTCGTTTAACCTGTGCACTGGTTCTATTCATTGACCATTTTAGTAATTAAAAATTGCTTATAGGAATAAGGCATTAGTGCTGTAGTTCTTTGGCCAGAACTTAACAGGGAAAAAATAAAAAAAATCAAACTTTTTAATGTTCAAATTTTCTTCATTCTAAATTGCAAAACTTTAAATCCTGCCCTATGTCATGCCTTGCAATCAGCAATCTTATTTCTTTCAAGCTATTTCCCAAATGTGAAAAGCTTCTCTAATTAATTGATTAGCAGCCCCACACAAACAACATATTGCAAGCTTTTTAGCATTTTCTCCTTTATTATAAATTGCAGTAAATAGAGCTCATCAACAATTTCAACATATAAATTAAGACTCTGGAAGCAGGAAGATTATTCGTGTCTTTCACCGTCTGGCCCCAGCAAAGGGTGCCAATAAGCAGCAGCATTTTCAATTACTTTTTAGAATTATTCACTGATAGATCCAAGATGAAAACTGGATTATCAAAATCAAGTCTTAAGACAAAATAGAGGCATCATAGTACAATGAAAATGACAGTAAAGTAAAAACTAAAGGAAATTATATTGCCCATTCCTAGAAATAAGACGTGAAACATGCAGTTACAAGGTTGATAACTTATGTTCTAATTTCAATGTTTGCCACATTGTACTGATGAGAATATTTACTATCACAATAAGATCATGTCATGAAATCTGTATTACTAGTATAATAGATACAGATCTGCAATTTAATCAAGACTGTTATTCGCAAGTAAATAACTTAGATAGGTACACACTCCGATCCAAATGAAACTCTTAAAAGTCTCACTGATTGCAATGGAAGAGTTAGACTTGTAACTTACTCTTAAAATAACTGAACTACAAAAACACTTATTGGGAGGGGGATGTGAAAAGTTCCAAAAGTTTAGTTTTAAAAAAGACAATTGAGCTATAAATATGTCACCCACAAAATAAATTTTAAATGTCCTACTATGAATTACTTTCGATTTCATATTTGTTCTCAGAAAAAGTAAAATTGGTCCAGAATATAAGCATAAAAGAACTACTTCTTTTGTCAACAAATCATGTCTAATTTGGGGATATCTTAGAAAAATGATCCTTTGCAAAAGTTCAGAGTAGTATAGAAATGAGAATCTAAGTATTTCCCTCTCATGTGTAAGCAACACTGTCCTGGTTATCTTGACAGAATTTTACATAAAATTAGGGCAACACTAAACCTAAGATAAATCTCTTTCTGGGAGTGGAATAGGGGAGCAAAAGCATTGTTGTGATGAATTCTCATTCATGTAGTGTAACATGCAGGATGTTTTTCATTCTGAAGCACTCCTTTAACAACACTGATCCCCAAAATGTTGCTTAAAATCTGTGGTCTTTGAAAACATTTGCTGTAGCATGAATTGTACCTATATGGGACTATTGGAAAGACTTCTTATTAAGCTTCACTCTGACTGCAGATTTCAAAATGAAGTCAGGTTGTGGCACCAACTCATTCTAAACTCCTGGAAAGAAGCAGGAGAATGCCCACAAGGTGAAGCTTTAAAGGCAGAGAAGCTAAAGGTTCTTAGATGTTCTAAGAAATATGAGATTTTACTCTTGTTCATTCAGATGGGGTTAAAAGAAATACAACAGGAAAAAAAAAACCTGCTAACGTCTCAAACATAGAAAAATGAATTACATTAAATTCTCAAGGAAAAAAGGTTACTTTATTGAATAAGCCCTGTTAAATCAACCTCCCAAATATGGCTTAAATTCTAGCTTATTTTACTTGTCTGTAAACCCAAATTACTTTAATGTCTCTCCTGATCTGGTACTTTCTGGTATTTACCTAGTGATGGAATTAATACCAGAAGTAAAAATTGGAAGCTAAAGTTGGAAGCAAAAATTGGAAGCAAACGTGACAAGGATTCAGGGAGGGTGGGCAAGTGGAAAACATGGTGTAAATGGAAAACATACACTAAAGAATGATACAAGGTGGCCGGCTCTTGGTGATTTTCTCAAGTGGCTCTCCATTGCTAGCCCTTCGAATGGCTTCAATGAGCTAGAGGGACAAAACAGAGAAAACAAACTCTATTTTTTTCCCCATTTTCAGTAGACTTACCGAGTGAAAAAGAATAAAGTCTCAAAATACCATCTATAATTATTGGTCAGTTTTTTTTCCTCTTTTAAAGAAATGCCAGGAATATATCAACATGTTTTATAATATAAATAATAAAATCAAGGATGGGAAAATAAATCTCTTGTACATATTTTATTTCCCTATGAATCTTGAAAATGAAAGATTTTTAACACTCATGTTGCATGAACACATTTTTACATTTCTACAAAGGACTTTCCTCTTCCTCTTCCCTGAAGTGCCCTCTCCCCATCTATTCTATTGTATTATCATTTCTCTGGAACAGGGTTGAAGGAAAATGGCGGCTATTGGAAGAAAAGGGATTTTTTTTTTCTATCATACCTTTCCTACCTATAGTATAACTAGAGCTAGCCTAGAACAGTATGTTTTATGAGGAAGTGAGTGATACTATTAGAATAATGGTCTCACCTTATCTGGGTGAGACACTGAATTAATATAATTTTTTTAACAATACTATTTTATTCCTGGCATGTCTGCATAATATTTTTTCAATGTCAAGGATGATTATAACTTCTAAAGCAAATATCAGCACCATTTTCAAAGCAGTCCTCTACTTTTTAACTAAAACTAGTCAATTCCTACAATATGTTGCTGTTCTCATCTCTGAAACCCTACATGACGACAATTTGACCATTACCTTAGATTAGTGATGGCGAACCTTTTTTGGCTCGTGTGCCATAAGTGGGGGGAACGCAGGGGTGTCATGTGCGGGCATGCCGCACCCATAATGCAATGTGCAACACACACACCCAGTGCCCATGCGCACACTACAGGCGTTCCCCCACTTTTTGCATGATTTTTTCACCCTACCCAGGCTCCAGAGGCTTTATAGGAGCCCCCACCCCCCACCCCGGATGCCCTCCGGAGGCTTCAGGGACCTTCAGGAGGCTTCCCTGAAGCCTACGGAACAGTCAAAATGACCCTCCGAGCAAACCGTAAGTCCATTCTTGAACTTCCGGTTTGCCTGTAGGGACGGTTTTCTGCGCTCTGGAGGCTTCACGGAAGCTCATGAAGCCTCCGGAGCGCCTCGGGGGTGGCTCTTTTTGCTCTCCTCAGGCTCCTATAAAGCCTCTGGAGGGCAAAAAATGGCTTTAAAAAGGGTGAACTCAGCTGGCCAACGCGCATGCGCGTTAGCCAGCTGACAGGGCAGCGCCTCATGTGCCCTGACAAATGGCTCTGCGTGCCACTTGTGGCATGCATGCCATTTAGTTCGCCATCACTGCCTTAGATATTTAAGCTTTCTTCCAAAATAACTATTTTGAGAAATAGCAGGGAAAAATAAGAACTCACATCTTTCTCATAAGGAAATCCTCCATTCTCAAGTTTGGAGAAGATCAATTGTCCATTTATTTCTATTTCAAAGGTACCTTTAAAAAAAGATGTTGCATTATAAGCAGTTCAGTTCATATTACATCCACCCAGAATCAATAACCTGTTTGTGTCACCGTTCTCAAAAATCAACCTATGAAGTGACAGCAAGATTTCATACTCATATGCATGAGTATACACATCGCTATTCAGATGTGGACAATCCATGTGAAAGTCTACACATTAGAAGACAACTCATCTTCTTGTAGTATAGTAAATTTTTACTGGCTATATACAGTAAAGCTCAACATTTTAAAAGCATCTGGAGTTCCTTAATCATTCACCAGGTATTTCTTAATAATATATACATACGGATAAGCCCACTGGCAGATAAGCTGAATCCAATTTGAGGTGTATATTTTAGTACCTTCAATTTTCAGCTTATGCATGAGTATATACAGTATATATAGATTTGAATGGATGACCTAACAAACAGGGATAAAAAAAATAATCTTTTTTCCCTATTACTATCACCTCTCTTCTCTCTCACTTTGATTAGCTTATTACACTTTAATTTAATTAAAGTATGAACTTTGTTCTCCTAAGCTCCTAGGGATGATCATAGACTAGTTCACCAATTCTAAGGGGTACAACCAGCCCATAGACTGGTGTTCCTCTAATGTAAATGTTTATAATGCAAACATTAATTTCACAGACATAATGTCTTCATTTCATCATATCACAAATGAGTTCTTGATAATTGCTGCTGCTTATTAGCATACATGAAGAGACATGGTGGCTCAGTGGCTAAGACACTGAGTTTGTCAATCAGAAAGGTCAGCAGTTTGGTGGTTTGAATCCCTAGCGCCACATAAATGGAATGAGCTCCCGCTACTTGTCCCAGCTTCTGCTAATCTAGCGGTTCAAAAGCATTATAAAAATGCAAGTAGAAAAAATAGGAACCACCTTTGGTGGGAAGGTAACAGCGATCCGTGCGCCTTCAGCATTTAATCATGCTGGCCACATGACCAGAGACATCCTCAGGGAGCGCTGGTTCTTTGGCTTTGAAGCGGAGATGAGCAAAGCCCCCTAGCGTCGGGAACAACTAGCACATATGTGAGAGGAGAACCTTTACCTTTTATTAGCATACATGTTAATTTGTACCTGTGTCTCCAAGACGGGATTCGATCTCCACATCAGGGTACTCTTCTTTTACAGCACTTGCCAGCTCTAGGTAGGCAGGTTCAAAGCCACAGGGCTTGCTGAAAAGATAATTTAGTGTTGGTGTTAAAGTTAAGTTGAAGATAGGGCAATAAAGTGAATGGAGACAATAAAATATTTAATTTTTATATATGAACTACCTGTTTATCATTTTGAAAATGGCACTAAAACATGGTTCACATGAAACTGAAGAATTCACAAAGATTATAGGTACTGTTTGTGTATCATCTTTCTTTGGAATGAGTGGCTGGATTTCAATATTTTGCAAATATTACAAAAAAGAAAAAAAAACACCCAACATTACTACCTAAAATATAGGAACTCATGTTATTATTCTGCTTTCTAGGCAAGCTTCTGTCATTAAACTCTGAACCATGCCAAACTAGTTCTTTGGCTTCTGAGCTTGATAAAATATAGATAGGCAGGCTAAATAAACCTTGAGCATACATAAACATTCTCCCAACATCAAGGAGCCCTTCTGTTATTTGCTCTTAAAGTAAGATTTGGTTTGTGAGGAGCCCGGAAAGGGATGCTATTCTGTTCCTACTAATCTGTAAAAATGCAGGTCGAGGTGGTTATACCATAAAGTTTATGGCATAAATCAGACTAGCTGGGAATTCTGGGAGTTGAAGTTCACGCGTCTTAAAAGTGGCCGAGGTTGGGAAACGCTGCTATAAACCAACGGCACTGATCCAAGAGCGAGGAAATTAAGATAAAAACACGGAGGAAAGAAAACTCTCTATCCTCCCTGCCCTAATAGAGCAACTGAAGGGAAACCAGGCAGCGAAATCAAACAGCATGAGGTAAATTACAACCCCTGGTCGCGGCCTCCATGGATGGGCGGGGATACCGTCAGCCGAGGCGTGGCCTCTCCTCCACAAGCGCCTCCCTCCTGCTCCCTTTCGCTCACCAGTATTCCACGACGATATGAATTCCTCTTCCGGTAACGGGCGGGACCTCCGTAGTCGGCTCCCCTGACCCTCCGCTCATCATACCAACTGCTAGCAAGTCCACGGAACCCACCCCAGAACCTTCCCGTCTCAGTCGGGCCGAAGTTTACAAAACCTTTCAAGGCTGACTTCCTGTGGGGTGAGGCAAGAAAACCTACTTCCGGCTTCGGCCCCATGATGGCGGGTGCCGAGAACTATGTGGGCTTTCAGCGACCTTACTGGGTCACGTGAAGCGGGCCTCCAACGAGCCTTTCGTTTCCTCCAATTCCTCAGATTCTACTATCTCTGTCTCGGCGCCGAGGGCTTGAGCTCCCCCTGCTGTTCGTTAACATAATCGTTAATGCAGATCCTGTCCGTTCCCTTTAAGTCAGCTGTATCTTCTCTCCAGGTCGCTATCATGGAAACGGCTCAAAGGAGCAGCTCCGTTCTGATGATTAACTCTGGCGCGGTTCCTTTGATTCAGCCGTAAGAGTTTGCTGAAAAACTGGCCATACCCTCTATTGACGACATGCTAAGTGTTTGCTGCCAAAGAGCCCTTCCTCTCAAATAACCCTCAGGCATTGTCTGTCCACAGGCTAATCCCTTGCCTTGCTGTGGAAAATCCAAAACCAAATGCAAACTTTCTATCTCTAATCAACCATCTTGCCTTCAAGAACTCATAAGATTGTAGGGAATCGGTATCACTGGATTTGCCACCTCCACAATCTGGACATGTCCTTGCCTCCAAATTTGGTGATGAGCCAGGACAATTGTTGTTGAAGGAAATAAATTTTTGAGACAGGTTGCTGCTAAAAGAGGAATCTAATTGTGGGGTCCTTGGTGGTCTTTGACCATGAGGTTTTCTTGCTGATGTTTCATTACCAAATTAGGTAGTAGCATCATCAGTGCTAGAAAGGAATGAGGAATGGGGATTGCTTTTATGTTTATATACTAGTGTCTTGCCTAGTGGTGGTGTTGGAAATGTTCTTGGAGGTTCTTGATTAACTGCTTATGTTCGTTTGTTTTATTGAGACTTCCTTAATTGTTGGTCTAGTGTTGATTACTGGTGAGGAGGTATTTTGATATTCTTGTTTCCTTCTTATTTTAACAGCACATCCATGAACATCAAGGAGCAGTCAGAAGACATAATCAAAACTCCTTAATTTAATAATAAATTGACAGACTCAACCATAGTTTCAACTATAAAACTGTGAGTATACTAGCTCAAGCCAAGTCCCAAAGTCTCAGAGAATTCCTGAAGCCTGACATTCAGACAAATTGACCATCAACAGATACATAAACAACATTGACATTTTCTCAAAAGAGAAAATGTAAAAGGCCAAAGGGACAAAATTATCCTGTACATCTGCTTCCCTTTCCATCTAGATGAGAATATAATACAATCCTAGTACATTCTGGTTCCAGCAAAATGCTATCTTTCCCTTTCCCTTAGAAAAAATAACATTCAGCTATACTTTTTGCAAGAAATAAAGAGCATTTCCCAGAGATAAAATTTTCTTTGCTAAAAGTTTATACGCTGAGACCTACCACATTTTGCACTAAAATGTTATTCGTTGAAACAGCTCACTCTTGGAATTATATGGTTCAGATGATCTAGGTTTTACCAGAGAAGTCAAGGCATTTCTTTACTTTTGGTTTGATAACTTTTGAATAACTTAAAGTCATATTTGCATGGAAATCCTTTCTTCCTCTCTGCCCCCACTCCCATCCCTACCCCATTTGCTCTGTTATAGGCTAGACTTGATCTCACATGCCTTTCTTTTCATAACACCAAAAATAGCTTGACATCATATGGCATTTGAGTCACTCAGTATCTCCAGATGACCTCTGCAGCTCCATAAAGAGATTCAAACAGTTTCCACTGTACTGCAACCATTAATATCTTTTTGATGGTCCTTTGGGTCAAGTTTGTGTAACAAGAAGCAGATTTGGAAGAAACATGCAAGGCAGAAGATGAGTGTCATAGAATGTTTATTATAGATGGATCCTCTAATTGTCACTATTTCAAACACCTAGTTCTGTCTTAGCTGAATGTGCAGCATATGAGACATAAGCAGACTATGAAAAAAGGGGGGTGGTATGGAAATAGATTTGTTACACCACAGTGGGCTGAGTCACTGAATAAGGTAAAAAGCAGGAATAATCTTTTCATTCCAGCCAATGTCTACATGCAGTAAAAAAAAGCAGTGAGGAGACTCTTGGTTTTTGGATCTGCAGCATGCAAGAAATCCATATTTGCAATGCAGAAGAGTGATGGGAGTGGTCTTCTGTATGTGTCTGCAAAAGCTGAAGTTTTGCTTCCCACTACAAGGTAATCTCGGGGCGGGGGCTAAGGTTATATTGTCTTAACGTACAGTACAATACTGAACTTAGAAGTTTATGCCTTCCCATTCAAACATCATGCTTTATCTATTGCTCTGTACTGACTCTAGTTATCTATATGGTGGTAGTAATAAAATGTTGTCTCTGATTATTAGCGTTGATAACCCACCCTCCAGGTATCATCTTCTCTATAGGCATTGGTTTCTATTTTAACACTGAAAAAATCTTTTACTCAGCTGCATATCAAAGCAAAGAAAGATCTCTTCCTGATATCTTGGAGACCCACTGGCAGAAAAAATTATACTGCCCTAATATTTATGCTCCTATTCAGGAGAATTTATAAAAGCAGGCAAACAAACACCTGCATATAGAAATATTTAGTGACCGTAATACAGGTTGGGTTATAGGTAGTCTTTGCTTAATGACTGATCACTTAATAACTATTCAAAGTTATGATGTACCTCCCCAGAACTAGTCATGACCCATTTTTGAAGTTTCAAAAACTGCAAGTACACATACATGCACACACATATACAAACAGTCTCATGATTGTATTCTGGGTACTTGGCATCTGGCTCTCATTTATAGCTATTTGTAGTCTTCTGCAGTCACATGCACAAATGTTAGCATTTTTCCCAGTTCTATAATTTACTTGTGGTTTTCATGAAAAAAAGTTAAAGTTGATATGAACTACATGTGAATCTTAATCTCTTTTCAGTGACTTACAACTTCTATAGTAAGGCAACAGGACCATTTTCCTATTTTGAGAAGAAAACTTTAAAGGCCATAAAATAAGCTTACATTTTAAATAATACCAGTATAACCATCCCTTCATATAAGAAAAAGAGAAGTGTCTTTTACTGGCATAACCCAAGTCTCATTCACTTGATTTTATCTTCCTGTTTATAATGTCCCCTTGGTATTTAAAAAAAAAAGTTAAATGTAGCCTCTGAATACAGCAAAAAATCACCATTCCTGTATTAAAGCTATCTGACCTGTGCATTTTTGAATCTGGCTAATATAACATTAGGAAAATTAGGCTCATTGCCATTTTTGTGTCTGTAACAGTTATGAGAATTGCAAAATGAAAATGTTACAACATTGCAACAGACAGAATTTACCTATTTTCCATTTCTGTCTGGTTTGTAGTAGTATACTTTAGGTCAGAAAAAAAACCTGACCCTTAACAGATCTAGCGTTAGCAGATAAAGACAGCATCCCATACACCCAAAAGACAGCTCAATTACTGTTCGCTGAAGCTGAGGTTGCCAAGATTATTTCAATATTCCCACCTCTGATGCAGGACTTCTGGTTTGGTTGTGGTAAACCTATGACGTCTGTGTGTCAGTTCATCATAACCAAGGGATAAATATTAAATACATGTTAACTGTTGATGAATGTTTGAAGAGGGAATAATAATTTTTAAAAGAAAAGCTATCAATGTCTTTTTATTCAAAAACTGTTTAAAGTTATGATGGCATCCAAAAGGCAGTTGTAAATGTGGGTAGGTCTAAGGGACTTATCATTGGTACTCAAAGTTGTGATCTTTGCAGTGCTTCTATGAGAAATCACTCAGCCCTACCCACATTTACAACTGCCTTTTGGACCCCCCCCCACCCAATGCTACTAATTGATCCTGTTACCTCGCTCTGCTTACCCCAGGCTGTACCACATGTCACTTCTATACCAGTTGGGGTCTTCTCTATTATATAAATGACCAGAATGTATTCATTTCATTTCAGAAAATGTTCAAAATTATTTAGCTACATCTAAAAAATCTTATTTTCTCAATGCTATGGCATATTTATAATTGTGTTCTGGGATTAGGCCCATCCATCTCTTTTCTTTCTCTGATATTTTATTTGAGCCCTATTGCCATCCCTGAGCTTCAGAGATAGCAATAAAGTTCTGATTAATAGATTTTAAGGTCAATGATTACTCAGAGATCCTAGAATTCTTGCCATATTTTACATGCTTGAATGAAATGAAATACATTCCTTTCCAATATGAACATGGCAAAAAGAGAGAGAGAGATTTTCTGAGCCTAAATCTAGCTAGCAGAAACTGCAAAGAAAGAATTGATTTTCTTCAGGGTTCTTCAGAGAGGAATGTCTGCTTTGGGAATTATTCTGTCTGTATATGTTTACACTGACTGAACTAATATTCCATCTATAGATGTCTTATAAAACAAATGTCGGTGTGAAAACATGATTGTTTATTTTCTATTCTTTGAAAAAATATTTTTAAATTGTTGAAATATGGATCTAACAGTTTTATTTTGAGAAAATTGACCTCTAAAGATTCCGTGCTTACTCTAAACAGTTCATTGTGCCAGTTTTTTTCCTTTTTCAGGAGAATATGGAACAAGTGGCTTCAGGATTCCAGTTTATGGGATGGATCTACAAGGGGTCAAATTGCTTTGATACCCAAAGGCCAGTGAAAAGTAAGAGATACTTGCAATTCTTTTTCCAGACTCAGAGCTAATATCACAGTGTCCTATTCCTTTAAAATGAGATGTAATTATGTAATACAATATTTCTCAGATTTGGTGCATAGCTGAGGACTTAGATCAGGGCTAGACAGTCTTTTCTGAACCAATGGGCACTTTGCAAATTTTGGAAGCATGTTGTGGGCAGTCTCAGAAAATAACTGCTATGAAATGTTTGTCTCTTTACAAAATGGTAGCAGTAAAAAGCATGGGCAGTCATAAATCATGCATTAAGAAGCAAACCAATAGGATTGCCATTTACTGATCATTTTACCTCTCCCCCTCCCTTGATACTTAATACCTTACCTATGTAATATTTAAGTTTATGTCTGGTCAGGTGGGTACATTTTCAAAGAAAACATTGGATTCCTTTCACCATTCTTATTTTCTAAGAATCCCTATGCGATTTCTAGAGATCCTAGAAACAATCTGGTACATATTTTTGGAAGGTGAAGTAAAGATTATTGTGAGTGGAGAAATGGACTGCCCACAGGTTTGGCAAAAGTGCAACAGTTAAAGAAAGCTTTATTGTGGTTTTTAATAAACCACAGTGAGAATTAAATGTTCAGCTCTCCAAAATACAATATTGTGAGATTAGTCAGATTAGTCACGAGAATGTTAACAAGGTAAAATATGATTGGTAGATTTTAAAACATTTGAACCCAAGAAAAATAGTTATATTGTAAGCAATTTAATGGGAATTTGCAATATTTGTATTTGTAAGGATAACATTCTAAGAAGAGAGATGCTGTGACCTAAAAGAAATTGGTAGTTAAATAGTATAGTCACCTTTGGCTCTGCTTGAATAGAATCTTGCCTGTATTATCAAAAGAGAATTGCAAAAGCATAAATTTCCTTGTTTCCAGAGAAGTGAAGGGTTATTTTTTTGAGTATAGGCAATTATTCTCTTAAATGATAAATGTGTGACTGACCTCACAAAGACATCTAATAATTTAATTGAGGTTAGGACTAAGCTGGTTATTCAAAACTTATTAGTAATTCACCTGTACTAGGTATTTTTCCACCTTTTTCAGTATATTCTACATTTTTTAAAATCCATATTTGTATCAATTTATTTTCCCTTTTCTTTGAAGATGTAATAATCTTTAATTTGGAAATATTAGCAGGAGAAATGAATATGCCACTTTAGCCCTTAAATTTACAATACAAGAAGGGTTGGATGACCTTCGGAAAACAGCCCCTGATGGTATTCATACTTCTTTATGTTCTTAATAGCAAGAAGCAATCATGTACCATGTTAATATGTTTTAGCCTCCAGTCCCCTAATTATTTTCGTTGCTCTTCTTTGCACTCTTTCTAGAGTCTCAACATCCTTTTTACATCATAACAGTTGAACAGGAAGTTACATTTCAAAGCTGTTTGAACTAAAGAAAGCATTCAATTTCCTTAAAACTTACAAAACGTCATATCATCACACATAGCATCACCCATAGGCTGAAAGGTTGGAGGTTCGGTCCTCTTACCTAAGAAGTCCACTGGGTCAACCTACCTTCCTACCAGTCTTTTATTTAGTGTAATTGTTTGGTTGTAGCAGCTTCCAATAGTTAATGTGTTTCATCTGGCATCTTTCCACTAATTCTGGTCTGTGAAAGAGATGGGACTTTCACAATCAAAATTGCCCTTCCATTAAATAAAAGGTAAAATATAAAATGTTAAGGTTAAAAAAACAGGTAAACTTGTAAGAAAAAGAAAAAGAAAAAATAATTTCTACACTGGATTCTCCTGGCCATGTAGTATATAAGCATGTCCTCCTCCCATCCTTTTTTGGGTTGTGTGGTTGATATAAATCAATCTCACAAGAGATAAAACAAAACCATTTTTAACTGAAAATATGATTTATGAAGTCTGATTTACAAAAACCTATGCACTGTTCTTGGCAAATCACAAGGTGGTGCTGGTTTGTTATAACAGTAATATTTGGAGAGAGGCAGGTTTCAAGATATATCAGTTTCAACAAATTAAGTCAGAGAAAAGTAAATATTTAAATCAGATGTACTGCATAACTGTGGAATTGCACAGAACGTACTCCATATGCAGAGGAAAAGGCGGGGGAGTTTTTAACAAAGAGAAACATAATAAAGCAAAAGTCTAACTAGAATAGTTACGTATTCGTTAGAGATACCATGAATCTCAAAGCAAAGTTCTGTTTTTTTATATAGCATTTCTTCAGATCTCTGCTTTTAGCCATTCATCAGAGATGTTGAAAAAAGGCATATAACCTAGCTAAGACATAGCAACTTTTTGCTCTGTGTCTTTAGACTTCTGTTTTTTTTTCCAAGAATTCAAATCTTCTAAATCCAGAAAAGAGAAATAGATAAGAAATCTGCCTTTGGTATAAATGATAGGAAGAACACAATCCCTGTGAATAATGATTGGAAATCAGATACTATTTCAGAGTTAGAATGGCAGAGATGCTGCATATTGACTATTCACAACACTTAACTGAGGCCTCTCCCATTCCCCAACACATTACTATATTTTGAAATTTGTTTTTCAGAATTACGGGAATGCAGCAGTGTTATTAAGTTAAATTGAGATAGCTCTATTTAAATTTCCAATACAGATAGTTCTTGGTTAATGACTACCTGTTCAGCAATGGTTTGCAGTTATGATGGTGCTGAATAAGTGGTGATTATGATTGATCCTTTAAATTCTGGCTCTCCCAGCACCTCTGTGATGATGTGATCATGATTTGGGTGTTTGGCAACTGGTTTGCACTTACATTGTAATAGCATCCCACATGATCATGATTTGTAACTTTTCCTATCAGCTTCCCCAAGCAAAGCCAAGAGGGAGGTTGGCAGGGAAGATCAAAAATTGTTTGCATAAGTCTCACACATCTGCACACTATCCTTGAGGCTTGGTATGATCACACTGCCTCTCCCTGGCTACTTGCACACCATTCCTGGCCATTGATACACCTCTGTGCACCCTTCTTCACCTGGCAGCATCCCAAGCCCCACTCTACTTGTGCTGTGCCTTCCTCCACTATTCACACATCTTCGCTCCCTCTTCCAATTGCAGAAGCAACTTCCTGCTGGCTTCCTACTGACTTTAGTTGTTGGAAACTGGCAGGAAGTTGTGAGGATATGTTCACCGAATAACCCACAACCTTACTTAATGGCAACCAGAACTGCAGGAATTGTTATTGCTAAGTGCTGCAAAGTGATGGAAACACTGCTAAAAGGTCCTGCCAGTGGGAAATAGAGTGACATTCCATTTTAGAGTCCATTCAGGGGGGGAAACATAATGAGAGCAAACCTGTAGGCCTATCCATGATCAGTTCTGATTGCTTGTCCCTGACATGTTTTGCTTTATGATCACATCACTTAATAAAATCTGGTCCCAATTGTTGTTGTAACTCAAGAACTACCTGCAGAGCAACTATAATAAATAATTGGGAAAAGAAGCAGGAACATTTATGATGATGCTTATAATAATTATTTAAACCTATATGCCACCCAATGATTCTGGGTAGCTCACAATAATAATAAAAATTATAATAAAAATCAGTGAAATTTTTTTAAAAAATGATAAAATTCAGCAGGCAGGATGTAGTAGGCTATATCTCACTCTCCCTTGCGAAAGGCCTGAGCGAAGAGCCAGATCTTCACAGCTCTTCAATACAGCACAATGGGCCCCGCCTAGATCCAGAGGCCAAGCACTGCTACAGAAAAGATGCACTTCTGGGGTCCCAATAGATGATAACTCTTAATCAAGGAAACTTGATAGTGACTGACATTTTACCCTTTTTTAATCTAACCCAATATCTCTTTTGAATCCTCTCATTTTGTAGCAAAAGAGATTCTGTTTCCAAATTTTAATTTTTACCACTAATTTGCCATGTGGGCAGGGGCATTTCTTAGACCAGTGAAGAACTGTTTCCCACTTGATTGGGTGGGCCAACCCCTGTGGCCAAGCAATTGTTTCTCAGGCTTCTAAACATGGGTTCATTGCTCTTCCAAGATAGAGCTATTTTAAGCATTGTGCTATTTAGAATGTTAAAGAATCTACTTGCAGGAAATCAAAATGAGTTTTGACAGATGTCAGAACAGTTCTCCACTCCAGCTTTATCCCATGGTAAGGATGGAAATGATGAAAGTTTTCCCACTGATATATGACATTTGTCGGAGTGGTAATGAATGTGGGATACTCCACCAATCATTAAGGCTTCACATATGCAGAATGAATACTTGCATAGACTTAAATCATTCATCTTTAGTTACAAGCACAAGTTGGTAGATTTTATATATTATTAAATATTTAAAAAGGTGTTCCCGTGGGCTCAGTATCTTCATTTTTTTCTTGAGTAACATGCCAAGATGCCAAAGCCTCCGGGAAAGGCGCACAATGAAAGCAAAAGCTTATTTGGATTCAGCAGAAAAAATAATCCTCCTTGGCTCCAGTTTGGGCAACTATTTAAGCCTATGCTGTCAAATTAAAGTACATGGAAGAATATTCCTTAAGCTGCCTTGAGACCTACAGTAGAAGAAGGACTTTACTTGTCAGATTTGCCTGAGGCAGCATTCTTATTCTTAATGAAGTAATTGGTCTGAGTCCAGATCGTACCATTCAATTTAATAGGGTCTCCACCTTACTTTTCCTGATACTTAATTTTTGTTTTTGTATAGGACCATTCAACCAGGTTAGTCTGAAATGGTACAACCCAAAAGTAGAGTGATCTTCCTGTTTCTCAGAAGAACTGTTGTGAATCACTGCTATTATCATTTTTGTCTGTGTTTAAAGCTAAATTTTAAAAAAGGATGAAGTTAGAAGTCAATATCCATAAATAATGTAATCAGAACTGTTTCCATTCACTGAGGAAATATAAAATAGCTAGGCAGATAAGGGAGGGAGGGAGGGGGGGAGGGGGAGGGGGAGAGGGAGGGAGAGAGAGAGAGAGAGAGAGAGAGAGAGATCCTTTATTGCGATTG